TGCTCAATCTGCATCGCCAGCGCTCTACGCACCGGACTTGGAGCCAAGATGGCGGGCGTTCGTGCCCCGAAGCAGTGGTCACTGACGAAAGACGAGACAATTACGTCATTCGAGAGTTGGCGCCAAAACCTGCTCTATACTCTGTCGCTCGATAGTATTTTCGCAAAGTTTCTCGAGCAGGGAGTCGTGTGGCAAAAGAAGACGGCTGACTGTCCGACACGTGGCTTCTCCGACGACAGCTCGAACGTCCCCGCCTCCAGTCGTCTCACCGCCGCTCAGAAGACAGTCCAGCTCGAGCTCATGTTAGGGCATATTGCCAATTTCTGCCCGATCATCGCTCGCAACTCCATTGTGAAAAACTCCACGTCGCTGCAGCAGATCTGGCAGTCAATCCGGCTTCACTTTGGATTCCAGTCATCAGGCTCTCATTTGCTTGATTTCGCTGCAATTCAGCTGCAATCTGACGAACGACCGGAGGATCTGTTCCAGCGGCTTATGGCGTTCGCCGAGGACAATTTGCTGAAGTCCGACCATGACGTCACTCATCACGGCCTCCTGCCGTCGTCGGATGAGGACATGTCGCCATCTCTGGAGAACTTCATCGTCCTACACTGGCTCTCGCTACTGCATCCGCGCCTTCCGGCCCTCGTCAAGCAGCGTTACGGTCCGGAGTTGCGAACCCGTACCCTGGCATCTCTGAAGCCGGAAATCAGTCAGTCTATCGACTCTCTTCTCGCTGAGCTGCAGTCTGGAGAACACGCGCAAGTTTTGCGTTCTGCAATCGCCAGTTTCCAGCAAGTTCGCCCCCGCAATCAGCTGGCTGGATCCGCCTCTGCGGGCCGGCCAGCGGCCGTGCGGGGTGATCTCTCCGGCTCTCTCTGAGCCAGCGGTGATCTCTCCGGCGCCAGCCTGCTCTCCGGCACCTCCACAGTCTCCGCCGGGCTCCTCAGCCACTCTGGTGTCCATTGATCCTCATGGACTGCTTTCGGACTCTGTAAGGGCCGAGTTTGCTGCTACTATCGCGCAGTATGACTCGGTGTTTGAGCCTGTTTTCCCTGGCTACAACGGCGCTGTTGGAGACATTCACGGAACTGTGAACATCGGCGCGGTCCAACCTCCTCAGCGCAGAGGCCATTTGCCTCAGTATAACCGTCAGCGGCTGTCTGAACTTCAGTCGAAGTTCGACGAACTGGAGGCCCTCGGTGTCGTCAGAAAGCCTGAGGATGTTGGCGTGGCGGTGGAATATGTCCACCCCTCCTTTCTGGTAAAAAAGCCTAGCGGCGGAAGTCGCCTCGTCACAGATTTCACCACTGTAGGTCGCTTTTGTAAGCCTCAGCCCTCGCTGCTCCCGGACGTTGAGTCCACCTTACGCATTATTGGTAGCTGGAAGTACATCATCGTGACCGACTTGACGAAGGCATACTTCCAGGTGCCGTTGGCACGCTCGAGTCTGAAGTACTGCGGGGTGGTTACACCATTCAAAGGTGTTCGTGTATACACCCGCTGTGCCATGGGATTGCCTGGTTCGGAATCGGCTCTGGAGGAACTCATGAGCCGTGTTCTCGGTGACCTCATCCAGGATGGCAAGGTCGCCAAAATCGCTGACGACCTCTTTTGTGGCGGTGCCACACCTGGGGAGGCGCTCGAGATGTGGCGCCTGGTTCTACAGGCACTCGACCACTGTGACCTCCGTCTTTCTCCCTCAAAGACGGTCATCTGCCCTCGCTCCGTCACCATTCTCGGCTGGGTCTGGTCTGACGGTCAGCTTTCTGCCAGTCCGCACCGTGTTTCGACACTGACCTCCGCGGAACCCCCTCGCACGGTAAAGAACCTTCGTAGCTTTATCGGTGCTTACAAGGTTCTCAGCAGAGTCGTGAAGGGGACGGCACACTACATGTCTCCGCTGGACGCAGTTTGTGCCGGCCGCGAGTCATCTGAGGTGATCGTGTGGACAGACGAGCTGTTATCCACCTTCCAGCGGGCTCAGTCGGCCCTGCAGCATCACCGTGCCGTCGTTATACCGCGCCCTTCGGACGATCTCTGGATTGTCACTGACGGGTCCAGCAAACTTCACGGTATCGGTGCGACGCTGTATGTGACGCGGCAGGGGCGTACCATGCTAGCTGGCTTTTTCAGCGCACAGCTACGCAAACACCAGATCAACTGGCTTCCATGTGAAATCGAGGCTCTCGCTATCGCCACGGCGGTAAAGCACTTTGCACCTTTTATTAGCCAGGCCTCGTCTCACGTCTGTGTGCTAACCGACAGCAAGCCTTGCGTGCAGGCATTCGATAAGCTGGGCCGCGGGGAATTTTCTGCGAGTCCTCGTGTATCTACATTCCTTTCGACCATCAGTCGCTATTGCATATCTGTGCGCCACCTCGCAGGCTCTGCGAACCTTCCCAGTGACTTCTCGAGCAGAAATGCCCCTCCATGTCTCGATGCAGCGTGCCAGATTTGTTCATTTGTGTCTCGCATGGAGGAGGCCACAGTCCGCCATATTTCTGTCAGTGACGTCATGTCTGGATCGTGCCGTCTGCCCTTCACAGGGCGCCAGTCATGGCTCACGATCCAACAGGATTGTGCAGATTTGCGTCGCACCAAGGCTCACCTATCTCAGGGCACGCGGCCTTCACGGAAACAGACTAAAATCCGTGACGTCAAACGGTATCTGCAGACCGTCTCCATCGCTAGAGATGGTCTGCTGGTTGTCAAACGTGACGAACCTTTCTCTCCGTCCAGAGAGCTCATAGTTGTCTCCCGTCAGGTGGCTGCTGGTCTCCTGTGTGCGTTGCACATAAAACTCCAACATCCTACTCAGCATCAACTGAAACAGGTGTTCTCACGCTACTTTTATGTGCTCGATTTGGATGCACATCTGGCAAGGTTATATGCCAGCTGTCATTCTTGTGCCGCGCTGAAAAAGCTCACTTTGCCGCTCGTGGAGAGCTCCACATCCCCTCCCCCAGCCGTGGGAGTATCATATGCCGCAGACATCATGCACCATGAGCGTCAGTTGATTTTAGTAGTTCGTGAAACCGTCACATCGCACACACTCACTTGTTTTGTCAGTGATGAGCGTGCTGCTACCATTGAAGCAGCTTTAATCTCTCTCTGCTTGTGTCTGCGAGCTGTTGACGGGCCTCCTGTCACGGTGCGCGTTGATCCAGCTCCATGTTTCGTCTCTCTGTCCTCCAGTGACGCCCTCAAGAAGGTTGGCATCCGCTTGGAGGTCGGTCGTGTGCATAACAAGAACAAGAACCCGTCCGCTGAACATGCCATCGGCGAGCTGCGCAGTGAGTTAAGGCGCATCAATCCTGATGGCGGCGCGATCTCACTGGCGACCCTGGCTATCGCCACTTCGCGTCTGAACTCCCGCCTTCGTCTCGGTGGTATGTCCTCATTCGAAATGTTCTATGCGCGTGATCAGTACACGCTTTCCGCTCTCAGCATCTCTGACCGTGAGCTTATCGCTCAGCGCTATGCGTCTAGAGTCCAAAATCATCCATATGATTACAAGTCAAAGTCTCGTACTCATCGCCGTGTGCCCCCTGTGCAGCCTGCCCCCGGCGATCTGATTTACCATGCCGGAGACCGCGACAAAACTAGAGCTCGTCCTCGATATCTGGTCACGGCTGTTGATGGTGAATGGTGCTCTGTTCGTAAGTTCGCTTGCTCGCAACTCCGTTCCAAAGAGTACCAGTTCCGTCTGAGTGAGTGCCTGCTCGTGCCCTGTGCTGTGGAGGAGCTGGAGCCCGTTTCTGGTGACGAGTCATCAGATGACGATACTACCCCTCCTGCAGCTGATTCATCGTCCCCTATTCCTGCTGAGATCGCCATCGTTCCCACACCTCGTCAGCCTGTCTCTGGGGTGCCGACGTCCTCTCTACCTGCTCCGCTACCCCCTCCCCCTGCTCCGCCGTCCCTGGCCGCCGGCCGCCCGCGACGTCAAACTAGATTACCGGGTCATTTGAAAGATTATGTAGTGTCCCTCCGTTAGTTCCCTGCAATGCTATGAACCGATGCCTTGTTTTGCGTTTATTCTGTTATTTACTCAATCACGCATTTCTTTGTTACTTATTTGCGCCTGTGTCTAGTTAGCGTTGTCTGCGTTTGCATTTTGCAGTATGTTCTTGTGCAATGTTGCACCTGTATTTTGAGAAGGGTTTCTTTTATTTACTAAGAAAAAAAGTGGTCACGCCAGCCCGCGCCCGCTGTGCGCTGGTCTAGCCACCTGGTGGTAACATGAGTCACTAGTGTTAGGGTGACCTGCCGAGAGCGTGAGCGCCTCGAGTGACCGCCGGCTGGGCCGGCATTGTGTGTGTTGGCGCCGTGCTGTGCGCATCCGTCTGCTCGTCCGGCTGCAATAGAGTGTCTCGCTGAAGCTCGGGTGTCTACTACTGGCGCTGTGTAGTTTAAAACAAACTTTTCATAAGTTGTTTCGTTCTCGTTTTTTTTTTCTCTCAAAAACACTGCAAAGTTGCGTCGACCTCGGGCGCTGCGGAGGACATTTTTCCAAAATGCCATCCCTCCCCCCCGGATCCGCCAGTGAAGAGTAGTGAATAGCCATAACTGTCATTGGTATGCTGAACGATTGAATGTTATACATAAAACATTATAAAGTTGCTTAGGATGCCATCTGGGCTCCGTGAAGAAAAAATCCATGACCGTTCTTTAGTCTGGCCACGGCGTAAGCTTGGTAAAGGCCCTTTAATGCTGTGAGTTTTGAAGCGAAAATATAATGTCATAGATATAGTATTCGGAGATGAGTATATTGATTTTGCCACTGTAGCCTGACTATGCTGTGTGCCCCAACGCTCGTATCTCTTGCTCACGGGTGCTACAGTGCACATGGATGTTGCGTCTAATGTCCATTATCTCTCATAACTCTACTCCGATCGGGTCTTAGCCCCTCCGCCCCTCCCCCTCGCGCGGGACTGAGTAAACTCGGCCCAGTTTAGTAATTTAACCACCATTTAGCTCCGCGGCTCACCGGCAGGCGTATTTTGAATTCACCATAGGGCTCAGCCATTCCTAGAGGAATTCTAGGCACCTTGGAAAAAAGCGAAATCGCGCTAGGGATTTCAGCCGATCTGGCAGCTCTTCCGATGCCACTGGCGCGCCTTTTAATCCAAAGCGCCTTTTTCGTGTCTCATGTTTGCTCGTTTATTGCGGAGGCCTATATATGCTTCAAGATGCTGGAAAAGGTTGGTGATTAATAAGTATTTCCATTTTAGGTGCATGTTCTTTGCAAGAAATACAGTTGTTGTTGCTGTTGTTGTGGGTTAGGGCGCAAGAAATACAGGTATATGTCAACTTTAGGTCCTAACTATAACTGTGACGCTGTTGATACAAATCTGTAACAGCAAAAAAATTATGTTTTAGGTTACGTTAGGTTGTAAGTTTTAGGTTGCATTGTAGGTTTGTAGGTAGTAGATTGGTAGGTTATAGGTGAAAAGGTAAGGTTAGTTCAGGTTTGATTATGTTTTACTTTTAGTTACGAGACATATAAGTATCATTTTTGGATTCAGGATGTCAAATAATGGTCGGAAACACTAAATTCAAAATTAACTAATTTTGAAGCGGGGACCTCCATGTGTATCGGCCAAATAATGTAAGAATATGAAAAAAAATTATCCATGAAATCTGCTTAGGACTTAAACTTGACATTTACCCACATGGCTATAGGTATCACCAGCAGAATTATAATCTTTACATAATTTAAAAAAAAATGCTGTAAGTGAAGATTATGAGTCGTGTAACCATTGTTACTATATTGATATTAAATATTGAATAGGTACAAGTCCGCCACCAACTTTATGGAACATTCCTTCTTCCAACAGGATCACTTCCAAGTAATCTGGAAGGCTGATGCCAAGTACATCTTGTGCGAGAAGCTTGATATGATTCCTGACCTGGAACCGGTGAGCATCAAATATAGCAATTTGCTTAAAGCAATAGCAATTGCTGATGATGGCAATTTCAATTTGCAGTAACACATATTATATGTAATTGGTTTGAGCCATGTTGCAATCATTTTATAAATGAAAACTTCCATTTTTAAAATGGAACTATCAACTTTCCCCACAGGCTTCGGTAACAAAGTTTTATCAATTGTGAATGACAATATTATTGGTATGAGTGGTGTGTGCGGTGATCTGTATTTGAATATAACGCGTCTTGTCACTAAGTATTTGTCATCTGCATTATAGCTGACTATTACGGTAATACGATCGTGCATTGGTCCCAGACAAGAATACCCCAGTGAGACCTTGCATTATTTCGTTTCAGGAGTTGATGGAGGGCACCACTGTGGCCTACCGATGTCCGGCGTCAAAGGAATCGGCCCTGCAGTGGATTCAGCTGTACCAAGAGGCCGCCAACATCCCCCTGACGACGTACGACTCCATGTCGAATGGCCAAAGGGTGGTGTACTGGGTGAGAGCTTTAGTTTATGAAATACCAGTTTGGGCTCGCCGTGTAAAGCTCGGCAGGGGGGTACTTTTGCCCGAGCACTCGACCTGTGCCCGCCAATGGAAAATTCTGCTGGTGCAGAGCCTCCTGAGGGTTCAGCAAAGACCCGCCGTATGAAAGCCTGTCGGGGTCTACTGACAGAGGGCCCGGCGGCCTGGGCTCGCTGCATGAATCCCCAGCTTGATGCCGCGTACTGAGGACCAGTCATCCAGCCGTCATACCGGGTGTCTCGGAGGACTGGACGGGCACCTACCAGCGGGCCCGCTAGATTTCGGGAGGGTCAGCTGACCCCTTTGTCCCCCTGACTCCTCCCTGGGTGCGCCACTGCACCCAGTAACTTTGACTCTTTTATATCGCAGGAAGGTGCGGGTTAATGAAACACCATGATCAGGGTCAGTTAAAAAGGTAACGTTTTTAAATCGAGAAACTTTCATCCTCATTTAAATGACGGACTAATGAGTGGCAATTGATTTCATCACTTTTGTTAATGTTGTCAATTTTTTTTCAGGCCAGGCTTCGTTGTCACCACGACGTCCCAGAAAAGCCGAGTCGTCCGAGGAAAAACCAATCCGCCAAGGACACCGGGTGCCCCCTGCGCCTGAAAGTGACTGTCGCCAACATTCCAAAACGGCAAGTTTCTCACCGTCTTTTGTCATTGGCACCTTTTACCAGGGCTGCGGAGTCGACCCAGCTTTAGCCAACTCCGACTCCGACTCCGGCCTCACAAAATCGACTCTGACTCCGACTCCGACCTATTAGTTCTGGAAAGCATTTATTTGGCCCTTTGGTTCACCGAACCAGTGCAGAGACGTGAACTTCGGGAGAAAAGAAAAGGCTGATCAAAATCGTAGGTCGATTTTGTTGTCTGACCACTTTGGATCATCGGGATAATTGCCATTTTGCTTTCACCAGACAACAATTTCACTTGATGAAAGGCGATTTTCGGACTACATGGCCGGAGTCGGTAAAATCTTATCGACTCTGGCCAAGAAAAAAGATCGACTCCGACTCCGACCAAAACTGTTGACTCCGACCGACTCCGACTCCGACTCCGCAGCCCTGCTTTTTACAAACGCCTTAGTTGATCAAACGATCAACCGCAATTGAAAAAAAAAACTACATATTTGATGAAGGAGTTCGCTGCCGAAAAGATTTCAAGTCGCTATCTTTCTTAGTTGTGCCAATCTTGGCTCAGAAAACTAAAAACGGTGATAATCCGAAACATTTCACCTCGCTCGTTCCTTGCCTCAAAAGGTTTCTTGCTGGTACCTTATAAAAGTGCGTGGAAGGAGCGGAATTTCTTCTGAATAACACCATCGTCTCGTGTTTTTTATATTTGTTGACGAATCCTCCCTTTCCAGGAATAGGTCTACAGACCCATGCGCGGCTTACGAGCTACGGGTGACATGTAACAAGAAGCCCCACAACCACGCCGTGGACAACGCTGCCGCTCTGAGACATCGACGCGTCTCTGAGCTGACGAAGGCCCGGCTGATGGAGCTGTTCCAGCACCACCACTCGCCCTCCACGGCGCTGGAGACCCTGAAACTACAGCTTCAGGAGAAGCATGGGAGCGCCTACCCGTCGGTGGCCGCAGACCGAGCCATTGTCCCAGATAGGATGGCCGTCTACTAGTAAGTTTTTAACAGCTTGATGCAAAGCCACACTGCCACAAGTTAGCAAGTCTGTAGGGACAGTATCTGAAATAATTAGACTTTCCCTATAAAGTTACACATGATTCTCATATATGAGATGCAATTGATCGTTACACGGAGCAGAGATGATAGGGCTACTCAGAAAAGAAGGCCGCATGTCTGGGATATGTGGTTGCGATCCGAGACTGATCTGGCCATTGACAATTTTTGGGTCCCCTATTGCAATCTGCCTGTTTTCGTGTCACATCCAGTTCTACTGTTATCTATGAATTGTGTTGTGCTAAAAACTCGCAACATTTTACGCTGCGATAAATGCACTCTGGTTTAGTAAAAGCTATCGATAATCATATTACGTACGCCTATGTGTCAGGGTCATTTCCGTTTTCCTGCTATTCGTGAAAAACCTGAAGGGGAATGGCGTCTAGACGCCCCCCTTCCGGCCCAGCGCAGGTTAACATTATTTTCACCTTGGATTTGTGTAATTCAATGCGCTGAGGGGTAAGCTATATTTTGATTGGGACGAATCAGGAACAAGTGGGACAGCTGAAGCTTAACCATAAGTACACTGTTATGCAATCGGTATTTTATCACAAAATGAAACTGACCACCACTTGCAGCTGGAAGTCAATTGACAATGCAATGTGTTTTCAGCCTGTACTACAAGCACTGTCGGGAGCGTTACCCAGCCTCGACCCAGGAGGAGACCATGGACCTCATCCGCCACATGAAGGACGTCCGCACGGCGGTCTCAGTCGAGGACGGCGAGACGGTGATCGCGGCGGTGACGCCGCTGATGGAGCGCGTCCACACGCTCCCCGACGCGGGAGAGGTGGTCTTCGTCGACGCCTCAGGAGGGATGAACCGGCACGGCCAGCGCGTCTTCCTGCTGATGTGCTGGAGCCCGGCCGGTGGTCTGCCTCTCGGTGTCATCGTCTCCACCTCGGAGACCGAGGCCGTGGTGGACAAAGCCTTCCGGCTGCTCGTCGGGATTTTACCAGACGGTACGATATACCTACATTTGCCATGAATTCCCATATCTGGCGGCTAAACTCTGAATTGTCCAGTCAGTTGTGCATTGGTGTATAAAATCCAATATCGTGTTTGACCGAGAATGCTTCTTTGACAGGCGCCTTTGGCGGGCGTGGAAGGCGCGGCCCTCTGTGCTTCATGACGGACGACTGTCAGGCCGAGCGGAACGCGCTGTCGGCGGTGTGGCCTGAGGCGCGGCTCCTGCTGTGCACGTTTCACGTGCTGCAGGCCGTCTGGCGATGGCTTCACAACGGCAAACATGGCATCGACAAGCAAGTGAGTAGTTTCTACTGGGAATGAATTTCCGTTCATTTTTGTCTAATTACCCCTTTTTGAGAAACACAGAGAGAGAGCGAGAGAGAGAGAGAGAGAGGGAGAGGGAGAGAGGGAGGCACAGAAAGAGACAGAGACATAGAGAGAGGGAGGGAGAGAGAGAGAGAGAGAGAGAGAGAGAGAGAGAGAGAGAGAGAGAGAGAGAGAGAGAGAGAGAGAGAGAGAGAGAGAGAGAGAGAGAGAGAGAGAGAGAGAGAGAGAGGCAGGCAGACAGCTGGGCAGAGGCAGGCAGAGGCAGGCAGTCAGGCATAGACAGACATAGGCTGGCAGTCAGGAATAGACATGCAGTGATACTGGTCTAAAGGCTGTAAAAGAACGTAAATGAGTTTGATTAATTTCATCTCAAACACCCCGTATATTTACATTTACCTTCACCCTTCACCCTTCACCCCTCCCGCCTCCCACACTCGGATACCAGTTAAATTGTGCATTTTCTTCCAGCACAGGCAGGCTATCATGGCACTAGCCAAGCAGCTCGTGTACGCCAACAATGAGGCGGAGATAGCGACGACGATGGAGCTGGTGGCTACCGAGTGGGGCGAGCGCTACCCACTGCTGGACCAGTAGGGGAGAGTGGGGCAAAGCGGCCACCCTAACGTTTCTAACGATGCCGACGCTTGATTTTTAAACTTGGAAAGATTCTTTCTATACCAATGTGATCCCTATTAAATTGTCTTTTATTCCAACTGCGTTTCATTTCCAAAGGCGTTCACATATGGGAGATATTGACAAAACTTTAAACCTATAGCATATTGGCCACTTTGCCCCATCCCTGAGGCAAAGCGGCCACTGGCGACTTCTCAAGTCCCGATATGAGAAACAGAATAGTTGCCTCATGCACGACCAGGGTATTTGATGGTGACAATGTTTAAGGGAAGATGGATGTTTACTTTGTTATCTTCCCACCTATTGCTAAACAAAGAAAGAATTTTCTTGGAAAAACATTTAATTGCATAATTTGGTAACTCATGTAACCGAAAAGTGGCCAAGATGAATGCATGACGACACATTTGAATATAAATAATGTTTTTATCCAGATGGAAACAACTTATGACCAATTGGGGACTGGCCACTTTGCCCCGGCCGCTTTGCCCCGCGCATACCGTCCGAGACAAAAATATTCCAGCTCAGCTATTAGTGGGGAAAAAAGCATTAAAATTGGTAGAAGGCATGTACGATAACCACGCAATGCATGGACAAAAACGCTTATAAAAATTCCAAACGGTTATGGAATAAAATAACATTTAAAAAATTGTAAACATAATTGGTAACCTGGCAAGAAATGCTTTTCCGTGTTTCACAGAACAATGGCGATGGGCCTGAAACCCCGGTCTGGCTCATTCGAACGACCGCAAAGAGAAGTATAATTGGAAATCATAAATTGGAACTGACGCCAGCTGTGGAGGGCTAAAACGATGGATGGCCGCTTTGCCCCGGGTGGCCGCTTTGCCCCACTCTCCCCTACCTGCAGGGTTTCGCTGCCCGCCGTCAAGAGTGGGCGCTGTGCCTCCGCACGGATGTCCCCACCCGGGGACACAACACGAACAACATCGTGGAGTCCGCCTTCAGAGTCCTCAAAGACTCCGTCCTCTACAGGTCAGTCTTTATTCATATGTTTCACCTAATTGCGGTTCAATAAATAAAACAGTTAACCTGGCGTTCATAGACAAACCTGTCTTTTAACTAAAGTTGATTGTAAAACTGTTTCGGTGACCGGAGGTATTGCAATAGATTCATTACTATTTTAAAATATTTCAAGTTGTAAGGTTGCCCAAAAGTGGCAAATGTTGAAGAAATGTCAAAGTTGCAGTTACAGACAAATTCCAATTAATAAAGACAAATAATTGGAAAAAAGCCAAAGCAGGGGAGTAGTTTTTCCTTTCAATATAGGTCGGAGGGCTGAGAGTGAGCCGGTAAAATGTTCTCGAAAACACCATCAAAATCCCTAGGACTGTGCAATTCTCCCCAGTGTCTGCCAAAGTTCAGAGCCTGAAGCCCCCGAAACGGAATTGGACCATACATCCCTTCGTCAAAGACGTTAATTACTAACTTGTGACTTTCATGGATTAACACGGATTAACTTGTGAATATCACGGTTTTACATTTCTGTTAACCCTACATGTGGAAGAAAAACAAACTTTCGCATTTCGGGTAGGTTGTGAAATTGTTAGTTGTGCTTTTGGTTGCTCTTCTGAAAGCCTTATTGTGTCCATACGCTGGCAGTCTACCGTTAATTATAGCTGCAAAGAAATTGTTGAAATATTCGCTTGACACGCGCTGTTTTTCCAGGACTCGGGCGTTCAACCTGCTGCAGCTGTTTGATTCCGCCACGGTCCAGCTCAGCAAGCACTACGCCAGGAGGGCGTGCGACGTGACCAACGGCCGGCAGCGGGCGGCACTGCGCCGGTCCGCGGCGGCACCAGCCAAGAAACGGGCACTGTGACGCAGGTATTTTGCATGACACGAGAACTGATTAAGGTCACATAAGACAGCTCGTTTTCCAATGCTGGTCCCACCCGTACTGCCACATGGCTGTGCAAAGTGACCAATGCAATCGGCGCGCCCCTAAGCACCAATAAACCAAATGGCTGTGCATTCACACACAAGAGTCTGTCACTGTACCGCTGTGCCACTGTAGGGCCGCGTGGTGTTGGCGCTGTGTGCCACATCTCGTGACTCGTTTCGCGTTTTTTTTTTTTCTTGTTTCTTCTTTTTTCCCTTTGGGGGTCTGTTTTAAAAGGCCAAGCTGACAGTACTGGGGCGAATGAACAGGTTCGGATTTTCGTACAAGTAACCGTCCGTCAGTTTATGTTGTACAGTCTGTCTTAAAAGTCCGCGAAAAAGCAACGGTGGATCCATCAAGCCTGACCGAGGAAGGGCCTGCTCAATTTGAGTCATCAAAGCAATTGATATTCTCGTCCATTCCCCAGGTCAATTGGTTCGGTGACTTTCAAAGTAAAGCAGGCCTTTCTTCAGTAAGGCTTGATGGATCCACCGTCACTTTGCGCGGTACTTTTAAGACAGACTGTACATACGAATTTTACAGGATTTTATGTGTTGCCCCTCCCACAGGTGACGGAGTTCACCTATCAGGTGAAGTCGCTGACGTCGGTCGGCATCACCTACCTGGTGGACCTGAACGTCGGCGCCTGCACCTGCAGGATGAACCGGCGGACTGGCGGCTGCAAACACCTCCGAGCCGTGCGGCAGCAGACTGGCGCTGTGCCGGAGGCGACGGCGACAAAGGAGACGCGGAGGGCCTTGATGGACATCGCCATGGGGACCAGCCAGCAGCTGCCAGGCAACTGGTTCGACCCTCTGGTCGCCGAGCCGTCCACCTCGTCACCTCCTGGCCCCACGCCCGCCAGCGCCCCCGGAGTCGCGCAGCCCCAGCCGTCGCCTGGTCCCGAGGAGTACGACGACGACGCAATGGACTTCGAGGACCCCGCCGCTGCGGCGGCGGCTGTCAGTGGAGCTGAGCAGCGACGCTCAGATGACCGGACACGCCAAACCGTGGCGTTCATCCAGGAGTGGGCAGCCTTCATGTGCGAGGCAGTCGTCCAGGACGACACCTGGGAGAGGGCTGCCGCTGCCTTCCAGCAGAGGTGGGGCCAGCTGCCCACTGCTGGCCGCCAGTCCGCTCTGCACCAGTTTGGGGGTGCGCAGGGCTGCCGGCGGAACGCCACCCAGATTCCGGTCCAGCCGACCAGCACTGCCCGTCGCACCAGCACCAACGTGCGGGGTCGCGCTCGCTGGCCCGCTGGACGGCCGTGCCGCTCCGCGCGCACCGGGGAGCACGGCTACGTGGCAGCCTCCGCCAGGCGGTCGGCGGCGCCCCACAGCCTGGCCACCTGTGTTGACCAGAACCGCCCCCTGGGGCGCTGAGTGGTAGAGGTGAAGTGGGGGTGACCGGGGCAAGTTGGTGCCAGGGGGGGGGGGGGTAAGTTGGGACGGAAGGGATATTTCCAATACTTCTCGACAGTTGGCGTTCAAACTTATTTTGTACATGCACAGTAACGCCGTCTGTTTGTCAACGTGGTGTCGGCGCGTGCTGAGGTAAGTGCTGTTAATAATCGCTACAAATGTGTTTCAGGTACCAAAAGTGATTTTCTTGCTGTGAAAATATTCTCTTCTAGTGTCGTTGTGTGTGCCTTTTTGTTTGCCGCAGGAGTACTGCAAACGTTTGTGTTTTGTCGTTAATGCCCGCATGGATTAGCGATGATTGTTCATGTGAAACATGAATAAAAATGTGTTTAGATAAACTGTTTTTCCTAGTGTACCAACTTGCCTTAGGCCCTGGCCCAACTGACCCCCCGCCGCGGGGTAAGTTGGGACATTGGAGGATGGCCGCTTTGATCAGATATGACACCAAGACGATGCTACCATCTCTCTTATATTAAGTCTTCTTTAAAAGATAAAGAAATCAGATCTCAGTTAATAGCCAACAAATAATGATGTATAGTTATACCGAAGTTATGACGCTTCAAGCAATAACTGGCTCAACTAGCGTTAGCGGAATGACGCAAAATTAGCAGGTGACCAGTGACCACTCCCAGTTCGCTAATATGTTTGCATCATTAACATACCTTCCACTATAAGCACGGTTTCTCAATCTTAACATAAAATATAACATCTTTTCATGTAATTTGCATCTCTAATATACCCCAGTCAAACTTGCATCACTAATGTAGTGGAGGACTTCTTGGGACGAATTAGTTTCTAGGGACTTACACATTTATGCTCATTTCCCCACATTTGTCGCCAGGGGGAGAATTCCACAGAATTTTCCGCTAGGAGTGGCTGAGCCCTATGGTGAATTCAAAATACGCTCACCGGCAGCCCGCCCCCGCGCTCGGCTTCCACTCTGCTCCCAAACAGCCGACAATTAACGGTCACCGACGCCGCTCACTCTCCCTGCTCTCCCACTCTCTCTCTCTCCTCCCTCTCTCCGTCGCCGAGTCGCGGCGCACCTGGCGGCGGCGCGCCGATCGCGACGCTCGGGGCTCGCCACCTGCGCCGCTATCGCCGCCAGAGCATGATCGATGCACGCCGCGCGCTGATCGATTGGTGGCCAGTGCGCCTGTGCGGCGGTGGCGGCGCGGCGGCGGCGGCTGCGGCGCGCCGGCCCCGCCGCTCAGATGTGTCGCCGGCCGCCGCGGCGCCCGGCCGGCCGGCCGGCCCGACCAGCGCCGGGAGGTCCAGCAGCACGCCGCGACGAGAGACGGTGAGTGAGAGACGGAGATGGCTGCTCTGTGGTGGGGTGGGAACCAATCGGCCCCACCAGGGATTCATTAGCTGACTGCAGACACTGTGTGCGAAATGGGAAACATTTTATCCACCAAAGGTCCATCCTAAGAGCTTGTTAGCTGATGTAAAAGCATGAGATGTAACGTGGGGATAGGATTAACACCTCCCTTTGATGCAATAGTTAGACATGAACTATCAATACAATTCTACCAGACGATTTATGGCATTTGATTGAGTTTCAAATAAGCGAAGACCAGAAATTGTAAATTGAATAGGCTGGTAGCGTGTTGTTTGTCGTACATTCCTCTGTTTCCTTTTTATGCTCCTGGCTGGCAGGATTAAAACCAAATCTAATTCGATTTTTGCATTACCGGCTCCTGTCGGGGACACCTCTAAACAAAGCCGAACAAACATAGATAACACCAATGCATATGGTGTCTGGCAGTCTTGGATTATTTTCCTTCAGCCTCTTCGAATTCAGTGGCCGTATTTTAACATCTCATCAAATAACTCACGCCGCCAATGCAATAGCCGCCGCCGTCGTATATAACGAAATAAATTCACCATCTCCATCATTCTCTGTGACGGTTTCCGGCGTGGCGAGCCAAGTTAGCTCGTCTCCGTATTGCCGTCTTCGGACCGGCCGTCGTTAGTCGTCGTTACCTGTCGTTAGCCGTCGTTACTCGGTCCCCGGGGCGCCGCGACAATGCGACCGGACCGTGTGAACCGGCACCGGAACGGCGCTCTGCCAGGGCGGGCGGACTGTTTCCGTCGGCACCGGACAGTGGAATGGGCGCGGCACTCTCCGCCCCTGTTGTGTAGAGGTGATACTACCATGGGTTACTTACGGAAAGGTGATAGCCGACTCCGCTGTACGGGGATGACACAGTGCCCGCTCCTTCCCTGATGTAAGAAGATGATACTTCCCGCTCCTGGGTAATACTACCATGGGTCAGCTGAGGGAGTATGTGTGATACTCTAGGCCCTTCCTGTAGTAAGAAAATGATACTGTCGCCTTCACCCCCTATGATGTGGAGGCGATGCTGCATAATAACAGTGGTGTATAGTGCCCTTGATGGAGGGTGTTATTGGGGTCCGCTTTATGAAAGTGATACTCTACGCTCCGTTCTTTCCGTAAGGCGATACTCCCTGCCCTGGCCCCGCTGTAAGGAGGTGATACAGTGTCCCCCCCCCCCTCTGCCACCTCCATCTGGACCATCTGTGCAGCCGCACTCAGCGCTGCACTAAGCTTTCTGCGGTGTCGCCCCACAATACGGAGGAGGTCCAAATATTGTTTCTAAATTAATTGCATGCGTATGTTCAAGATTATTCAGTCCTCGAGTGGATTGGTAGTGATTCGTCTCATTGCGACCACGCCCATCTATTTACGATACTTTTAGACTTATATAACGGTTATATCTAAGGTGAAACGTGATCAGAAGGCCACTTTATACGTATGTTTTATTTGTCTGCGAATAGCAAGTCTACCATGTTGTTATAGCGAGGTTGCGTGTCATCGCCGCTCGCCACCATATGATTTGCCTCGTCATGTGACAGACCCATTTGAAATGGTGCTATACATTTGACATAAACTGCTAGTTGCATAGTTGATGACGTCAGCAGCTGTTTTCATATACCTACCGTGGCTGTTGAGCTGCAGCGCACTGAATTAAATTTTTATGCGCTGTAAAAGCAGGCTGATTGATTTATTTGACACCATTATTCGCTCATAGTTTAGTTTGTGTGAGTGAGGAAGGGCCCAACAAGAAGATACGCTTTTAAAATTGCCAGCAAGTGACAACCATAGCCAGGTATATGCAGTTTGAGATACCTTCACAAAGGCACAATGATAATGCTCACTTGCTCGCTAAAAAATGTGATAAGATCACATAACGCGACGGCATGTTACTTTTTACTTACATGACTACCATTCGGGTCTTGCGATAAAAAAAAATATAGGAGCATTTGTCTTCACTAAAATACCTGGTGAGTTATGTTAGTAGACAACCTTACTGATGGAGGATATGTAGTGTTACAGTCATGTACACCCTTAACGATACACTCATAACGCGACAGACTTGTCGAGTCAAACTAACCATTACTTAATAATGCGGTTCTTCTGACGTCATACCGTTTGACGCTCCCCAGCCATCCTGCAACAAGTACCTATCATATGCGTGACTGTTGGTGTATAACATCCCAAAGTGCATAATGCATATGTTGCATTATTTCCCAGGTCGTCGGACAGAAATGTTATGCTAGATGCAGCGTTACACGGCGATGAATGAGATGAATAATTTTTCCGGAGTTGCTTCCGGCAGTTTTCTGGCGAGTGTTTTCAGTTAGTTTTATCTTTATGCAAGTTGAGAATTATATTTCGAGCGAGAGAATTATATTTGGAACCATTACTTAAAAACGCAAAATAATAATTTGGCAGTTATATTTTATACATAACTACAATTATCACTTTTTTGCCACCAGCTCATATCTTGTGTCGATTAGCCCACGTTCGCACATCTTTGAGCTATATCAATTGCCAATGCACTCAGGCTATCTGACCGCACTTAAAACGGTTTCGGCGATTTAAACGGCAAGTTGAAATCCATCCGAGAGCCTGCTCAACCAGCTGTAAAATGCCAGCTAATCTCTCTAATCAAGGTGCTTATATCTGTCGGGAATATGTGATGCATTAAACAGTTCTCGGTACTCTGAAACCAGTTAATTATGCATTCAATTTACAAACTATTTGACTGGTGTCGTATGATCACCATAATGGATTCATAAGTATAGGATTATCATATAAATCGACATCAGCCGGTACATTTTAACATTCAAAGCTGAATCAGTTAGTAGACATCGCATGGCGCGATGAGTTGGCATTGCTTTGAGTTATGTAGGTACAAAAGTCACTGTTTTGGTCTGTTTCCTAAGAAAACAACTTTTGTTTCTACACCGCTGCCCGCTACACATAATCAGCTGGCCGTCAGTTCCTCTCCGTTTAACCCAACGCCTGCGGGCACTTGTGTTATCCCCCATATTAGAATAAAACATTGGCAACAGATCTGTCGTCTGCACCACACATTGCCTTCCGCTGTGTCCTATATGTATCCACTGTGTCCAGTGTGTCCAATATGTCCGCTGACATCTACATATGTCCGAGCTGTGATGTGTCTGTTATGTCGTCTGTCCTTTGTGCAGCCGGGGTCAGTGGGCAGGGCGCCACCACTGACCGCGGGGACACCAAACCGTATACCGGTGCCGCTCGGGCGATTATCGGATGGTTAATAGCCGGTGTACCACTGGTCCCCAGTCGATAATACGGGCCGAACGCCGGACGCGACCTACTTTTACGTGCACCACATGCAAGGCTTATGGCGGAACATTTGCCGCAGCTGTTGTCAGGTAATCCCGATACCAAAGCTTAACAATATTCAGTCCCGGAAGCGTTATGCTTGTTTAATTGTTTTATTGGAGCAGGCAACTGTCTTCATGTAACACATAATCGCACAGGGTTGTAGTTATAAGCTATCCTTATTTTGAAAAAAATTGTAAAATACGCATTGCGTAATCGTATGCACCTGGCATGCAAAGCTGATGACAAGTGGCAGATTTATCATGGGACGTCACAACTCGCGGCGTTTTGAGAAATTATGCTGTAGCTGCCAGATGT